CAGCATTTTGTGGATTATGGAACTCGACGAGTTGGTGGACTAACTCGACGAGTCGAATCAACCAGGTGTTGACTTTGACCAAGGTGTTGACCTTAACTTTGACTTTAACCTGAGTTGACCCTTGAAAGGGTTACGAGTATGAATGGTAATTAAAGGAGCTTGTTATGTGTAGGAGTTTTAGAGGAGTTGATCCCATCGCCTAGGACAGATCAATTACTGCACGACATTGAGGTGAGTTGCCTTCCAGTAGAGTGGGTCGAATGCCACAATGTCGGCCCACTAAGTATGAGTTGTAGTTAGATGATTGTCTTTGTGATAATTATCTGGTATGCCAATATTTTTTATGCTTATCTACTTGGATGCTATATGTGCTAGTAGTAGTAGGGGTGAAATAGTCCTCGGTTACCAATTGAAAGATACCGAAAGGGTAGACAGTTCCCATGCATGCCTAGCTATATGTTCATGATATGTTAGTATGTGGTAGTGATAGGGATGAAATAGTCCCCGGTTACCAATTGAAAGATAACGAAGGGGAGGTCAGCTCCCGATTATCAGTTGAAAGATACCAAAGGGGAGGTCAGCTCCCGACTGTTGAAAGATATCGAAGGGAAGCCCAGCTTCCAGTTATGCATGCCAGATACCGGTTGAAAGATACCAAGGGATAGGCATTATATGTGTGTATGTATGTGGTATGATGGGGGAACTCACTAAGCTTCGTGCTTACAGTTTTCAGATTTGTTTTCAGGTACCTCTTAATCGAAGGAGAAGGAGTCGGCACGGTAGCAACGCATCACACACACAAGATTTCTGCATTATGAGATTCTTGGGATTATACTCTGACATTATTACTATTTTCATGATATGGTTTCGAAACATGTGATTATGGTTTTATGAAATGATGTGACACAATGATGTTTTCTTATAAATGTTTTTCTAAATTGTTATATCAAAATGAAATTTTTGGCCTTGAAATTTGGGATGTTACAGTATGAGCCTTTAGAATTGCATGTTAGTATAGATTTCAGATGAATAGATAAGATTACCTAAGTTGAGATCTAGACTTGTATTGGGCATACATGTCTGAAAAAGCACTGATCTTTGGAGTGTATTAGTCCTTAGGCATGATTCTAGAAGGTTGGAAGGAAAAGGATTAACAAATCAAGAGCTAAATTTGTTAAGCTGTTGGAACCTAGTTCCCACAACGCGGTGTTTGGGAGCCACGACGTAGCAACTGGGGAAGCCTAACTATTTTTTCGTGGAATGCCCACGACATGGCATAAAGAGGTTACAACGTGGTACACCGTCCAGCTGTCATGGACCATTGACTTCTTGACCAATTTTGACTTTTAGTCAACTGTGAAGGTATGGTTTGATGAGGGGCAAAATGGTCTTTTGCCCAAATTATGGATTAGACTCAATTTTGGACTAGTTGAGTTGGGATAATTACATAAACTCCTAATTAAGGTTAATTGGTGCGATTAATTGGCAGAGTCTAGTTCTGGCAGTTTAGGTGTGAGTTTCATCGGTCTTCCGTGCGAGGTGACTCTCTTCACTATACTTGCTTGTGTGGTAGTATATATGTGTTGACCAGCTGTGTCTTATTTGTCGTTACTGTGATATATGATATTGTGTGTGCTAAGACTTCAGGTAGTCTCCAGGGTTGCTGATAACCCATAGGGCGAGACTTCGGGTAGTCTCTAGGGTTGCTGATAACCCACAGGGCGTGTTGTTTTCCCACTGACACTTCGGGTATTCTCCAGGGTTGCTAATACCCATAGTTGTTTATTTGTGTTGTGTTGTATGTGGTATTTTGGGGAACTCACTAAGTTTTGTTGTAACACCGTAAATTTTCAAACAAAATTTTCATTGAAAAATCACAAGATTCTCACAACGCGTTTTACAAAAATCCCATTTATTTAATTTACCAAATACAACTCCATAATTATTTAGTTAACAATCCAAGATCCTTAAAATATAGCTTTTTGTTTAGTGTACAACCAAGCCAACACTATCCCGCGATTCTGATAAAAACCTGAAACACATAACACATAACACGGTAAGCACGAAGCTTAGTGAGTTCCCCAAGATACCACACACACAGCTCATTAGCCACCCGAGGCTATATCACTGTAAGACCCTCCGGTCAATGTGTCTCAGTGGGACCCTCCATTCCCATCGCTCGTTGGACCCTCCCGGTTTGTAAAGCTTTGCATAACATAAATCACAAAGACATAATGCACAACATGATTCATAAAACATAAGGCAGGATAACATAATACACAATGTAAGCACACAAAACCCTATGTTCACACATAAGTACCACTCTAGGTAAAGTATAGTGAGAAGACTCACCTTGCAAGCAGCAAGCAACTATCCTCAAATTCGAATCTCGAACTAGCCACTACCTAACACATATGGTAAATATCTCTAATTAATACTCGATTCTTGACTCTAAGTAACCAAATATAATTCTTCTCTCTCTAACTCTCGAATTAGGTAAAATACCATTTTACCCCTCCATGGTCTCCATTACTCATGTTGACCAAACCCTAAAGTCAACAGAAGTCAAACTTGAGTCAACAGTCCATGTTTGACCCGACTCATCGAGTGCACTCTTACGACTTGTCGAGTCCCCTCGTTTCCTCAGAAGTCTCAAGAAAGTCCAGCTTAACTCGTCGAGTTGACACCCATCTCGCCGAGTTATCGCACAATCAAACCCATCGGGACAAACCCTCACCGACTTGTCGAGTCAGGTTATGGACTCGGCGAGTCCCTTCGATCAGATTCCTCATTCAGACGATTTAAGGCAGATCTATCACTCCAGACACTAGATCTACCATCCTAAGGGTCGATTGTCACGTAAAGTTGTAAGCTTTATGTTCAAACATAGCATGTAAGGCTCATAATGCCAATACATTCTCCAACAAGGGCACCAAAACACAATAATTCTTCAAGTGACTGAATAAAGCTTGAGCCTTTGGACCTTCTGGACCTCTCAAGGTCCAGATCTGAAGTCTAGACCTAGAAAGGGACTCCATGTACTCATATCTCAACAAAAAGGTGATAGAAAGCCCTATTCATCAAAACATGAGATCTAATCACCACAAGGAGAAAGGTGGGAACTTTTTACCTTCTCTAGAAGCTCTTGGACAAAATAACACTGATCTACTGGCCTCCTTCTTGTTCCTTGATGAATTCTTCCCTCCTCTTCAAAAGAAATACACCAAAAGACCCCAAAATTAGCTCCTTTCACACTCTCTCACTCAAAAGGACGTTAGGGTTTACTCTCAGTGAAGGTGAGCCGCAAATGAGGCTATAAGTTCCCTTATATAGGCCCCAACCCCCGGGAAATTAGGGTTTCTCTGCCCAACACCTACTCGGCGAGTCATCTCTCTGACTCGTCGAGTCCACTCATTAATTCCATGTTGGCAACTCGGCCCTACTCGGCGATTCGGACTCACGACTCATCGAGTCACTCTATAAGTCCCAATGTTAAACACACATTAATGTATCCGAAAGTCCGGATGTTACATTTGTGTTTACGGTTTGTGGTTTAAATGTTTCAGGTTTTCTTATATTAAAGGAGGGGCGCAGATTGATTAAATTGCATCCGTGGGAGATTTGTGCATATGATAACCTTTGACGATACTCTGATAAATGTTTTGAGTTAAATGGTTTTATTTAAGTTTTTCATAGGTGTGAATTAAATAAACACTTAATTTTTTTTAAATGAAAATTTTGGTATGAAGATTGGGATGTTACAAGATTGACCAAGGACCCAATATGTCACGTTTTGTGAGTTTCATGCTTGTACGGCTCCCTCGTTTATGGAACAAGGAGTCCATCATCGTAAATCAATAACTAGGGATGCGCAAAAGGACCGAACCGGTCGGAACCAGCCCGAACCAGACCGGAACCGGGAATCGGCTTCGGCCAAAATCAAGAACTGAACCGGCCCGGCGGTTCTATCGGTTCCAGTTCTACCGGTTCCCGGTTCCGACCGGTTCTTGTCGTGTCTTCAAATGTTGGAACCGGTCCGTGAAAAATAGGATCATACGGTTCCGGTTTTTGTCGGTTCTACCGGTTGCGGTTATATCGGTTCCGGTTCCTACCGGTTCCCGGTTCTAAAAATCCGCAAAAATAACGTCTCGATCCCGACCCGACCGGTTCCATCGGGTTCCGGTTTCGGTTCTGGTACCGGTTCCCCGGTCCATTTGCTCATCCCTATCAATAACCATTATTTCTTGAAAATGTTTTTAGAGTTCAAAAAGCATTCTCAAACTCCTCAAATACTATAAATGTAAAAATAAAATAAAAATAATAAAAATAAAAATTACAAGAACATCCAATATAACAGCTTCTTGGAGAGTTTTTTTCCGATCAAACAATTATTATTACAGTTTTTTTACCACATAATTTTTCTAATTTTCTTGAATATTTACCGGCTCTCAACATGTATAGATTTGTTATAAGTCTAACATCCTATTCTCGAGTTTATTTAAGGACCGAAATGAAAAGGTTTGTAAGGAAATCACAAAGGAAATGTGTTCTATGTTTTTTTTAAGAGATGGAAGATAATGAAATAAAAATGAAGGGGAAACCAAATATATGCCTTTCTCATCCTTCAATTCTGGAAGGGTTAAGAGGAGAAGTCCAAAAAATACCAAATACTTTCATTCCATTTCATATCACTATAACTCAAAAACCGTTTAATCATTTGGGTTTTCCTTTCATTTTCTTCCATTCCATTCTCGTTTCTTTCATTCCATCTTTTTCCATTTATTAAAAAAACTCGAGAACAAAGCGTAACTGTGTAAACATCTAATAATAGGATTCATATATAAGTTTTGTAAAAACACTTAAAGGTTAAAAGTTGGTTGAGTAAATACGAGAGACGTATAAACTTAACGAAAGAGATTAACGAAAGAGATTGTGTGTAGTGGATGCTGTAATGTAAATGTAGGCTCAACATGGAAATTGGTAATTTAAAAAGTTAAAAGGAAGCCGATAATTTTGATTTAGTAGAAAGGAATTATTGGAACTGGAAGGTTAATAAGCCGTACATTGTCTGCCACGTCTATCGGTTACAAACCCCAACACAATACCACATGGATCTCACCTGTCATTTTTCGTTTTATATATACCACCAGTCCTATACACACACACCCCCCTAGGCCCCTATCTCTATTCTACAACAACACTTGTACGCCCATCACTGATCCTCACGTCTAGACAACAGCATATCCTCCACAGAAACACGACGGAGCTTAACCACTTACAACGGAATTAGTAGGTAAACAATTTTCATTGATTTGATTTGAAAGTTACTTGTGCGAATTAATCGATTCATCGGTGTATCTGTTGATGAATTTTGTAGCGAGGAAAAATCATGTCGCAATTGCAATCGCAATCACACTGCTGCACGCAGTGTGGTTCCAATGGCCATGACTCTCGTTCTTGTTTAACGGCCGCAGATGATTCGTGTTCCGACGTCTCTGGCATCGGCGCCGGGGAGATCATGTTGTTTGGCGTCAGAGTGAAGGTTGATCCGATGAGGAAAAGTGTGAGTATGAATAATCTCTCGCAGTATGAACACCCTGCCACTCGAGAATCGTCTAATAATAACATCGATGTCTCCGCCGCCGTCGCTGTTGCTGCTGACACCGGCTACGCCTCCGCCGACGATGCCGTTCGCAACCAGTCTAACGGTAGCAGGGAGCGGAAACGAGGTTAGATCTCACGTTATCCGTAACATCTCTATCTCTTATCCTGTTTATCCAAAAAGATCAGTTTTGTCGATGTACTCGTATTTCGTCGCGGCGTTGATATTTTTCCTCGTTTTTTTAAATCAAAATCGATTGCTGCGTTTTTGTCAATTCAACATGATTACGATTGGAACAGAGGATGAAAGAAGAATACGATCGTTCCTGTTTTTAGCTAGTTTTATTCTTTGCCAATTCCTTTGCAATCAAATTTTCACTGACGAATTTATTATGTCAAACCACTAATTCTTTCGATACTGTTTTTCTACAGGAGTTCCATGGACCGAGGATGAACACAAGCTGTTCCTCCTAGGGCTGCAGAAAGTCGGCAAAGGAGACTGGAGAGGAATCTCAAGGAATTTCGTCAAGACTCGTACCCCTACACAAGTTGCCAGCCATGCTCAGAAATACTTCCTTCGCCGGAGCAACCTCAATCGCCGCCGCCGTAGATCTAGCCTATTTGACATCACTACAGATTCGGTGAGTTTCAACAAACCTAAATCAATACTCATCACAAACCATTCCCTGAATCAACAGCAAGTAACACTTTCCCTGCGTGATCATTAGGTTGCTGTTATGCAAACAGAAGAACAACAAGTTCATGACGTCGAGAAAACTCAAGCGGTTGTGCAACCATCCGTACCATCTTCCTCCTTTCCGGTGACTGTATCTCCAGCACCCTTTGAGAATCAAGTCAACAACGGATCAATGCTACTCATTCGCTCAATCCCTGTCTTCCCAACTCCGAATCCATCAACAATGGTGGATCTTAATCTAAATCAGAAATACGAAACCAGTCCATTACCAGTATCTTTAAATCTTTCCCTATCATTCGATCATAACCATAATCAGTCATCCTATCAAGTGATCTCAGGGTTCAACACGGGAGATGGCATGATCAGTGTTGCTTGAACAACGAACATCATCTCATCTGAAAGAGAAGGAAAAATAATAATAATAATAATAATAACAATAATAATAGAGAGTGTCAATCACGTAATTAGTTATTGACTTATATAATTAATTAATCTCTGTTTTAATTTTTATCATGTTGTTGTATGGTTACGTCTCTCATATATATATACATATGTGTTTTGTAATTGGAAAGAAAATGAACGAAATACACCACTAGTTCCATTTTGTTTGTTGTGGAAATTAGTGGGATTTGATTTGAATGATGTGAGTGGGATTTGATCTAATGGATGGTTTGTAGGGCATGGGGCCAAAATGCGAAATATCTAGAATTCGAGATCACATCACATGTGGTGAGTCAATTGATGATAAATGGAAGCAATAATAAGAAGAAGAATAATATTATGGTGGTTTTAAGTGTTTTATTTATGTTTTAGGGATAATGGGAGTATTAAATTAGATGTGATATTTTTTGGGGGATTGTGCACATGTGGTGATTCCTGATTGTGTGGTTGTAAGAAAAGATGGTGGGGGTGGGGTAGGGAAGGGGGGAAGAGGAAGGGGATAATGTTATCCAGTGTATGTAGTGTTTGATATTAATTGATAACTTTTGGTAATTAAAATGGGGGTGGTTGGTGGTGTGCCACCCATGATGTGTGACCATTCTTTGCCTTAAAAGATAAAGTTAGGTCAAGAATCTCTTTGCCTTGATAAAATTAAAGACACATAAGTTTGTTTGGTTCATCTGCTTCCTTATTTTTGGGAAAAATAAATTTCCTACAAGAAAAGGTTTCAGCTCATATAACTTAAAATAAGTACGCATAATAAGAACTGTAAACATAAAGGGAAATTTTTATTTGAGAGATGACATAGCTCCAAGATATCTTATCAGAGTTATATCTTGTGTTTAATTTCAACTTAACTCAAAATATTGATGCATGTGTAGACTTCGAAAACCTTGATAATTATGGTCTGAGCTTTTGCAAACTTATTGTTCATCTGTTAGATATTCAAAACTTAATTTATACTTAACTGCAATTAAATATGATTTTATCCGGCTTGAACATTAATCTTTTTATTTTATATCGTTAATCATAAGACTTTTGGTAACCTATGAATGATGTAGTGTTGAATGATTCAAAGACGTCTCTAAATAAGTTTGATTTTAAATGAAAATATGTTATTTGGTGACACCGAATGATTCAAAAACTTGAATGATTCAGAGACTCTAAATGAATTTGTTATTAAGAAACAAATTTGGGTTAATGTTGAATTTGGTAACCTGTGAAGGATTTAGTGTTGAATGATTCAAAAACCTGAATGATTCGGAGACTCTGAATGAATTTAATTCTGAATGAAACCATGTTATTTGTTGACACCGAATGATTCAAAAAACTTGAATGATTTGTTCTTATTAAGAATCAAATTTGGGTTAGTCATTATAAGTTTTTATTCGATATGAGAGGTTAGAAGTAAAATAATGTTTACCAAACACTCTTTGAAACAACCCAAAAAAAATTTTTTGTTTTTAATACAATCAAAACTGTAATCATAGTATCAAATAATAAAACCATGCGTGATGTATTCCAAAACATAATAAAATACTGAGCGGAAAACTGTATCATGCTACATCAAATCAAACAACTAAATCAATCCCAGGTTAAAGCTGAGGCGGTGGTGTGTGCGATGCCGTCATCCCGAGCTCTTCCCTTTGCTTGCGGAAGTACCTGAAACCAAAACTGAAACTGTAAGCACGAAGCTTAGTGAGCTCCCCCAAAATACCACATGCCATACATATCAATATCATATAAACACATATCGGGCCTTGCCCACTGCATCGGGACGAAGCCCGGAAACTGCATCGGACCGAAGTCCGGAACTGACTGGGACCTTGTCCCCTGCATCGGACCAAGGTCCGGAACTAACTGCATCGGACCGAAGTCCGGAACTGACTGCATCGGACCGAAGTCCGGAACTGACTGCATCGGACCGAAGTCCGGAACTGACTGCATCGGATAGCATATCATAACAACTAGCATGAACACATATACTGCATACTACATCGGGCCGTAGCCCGGAACACATAATACATAACACATAAAACATAGCTCACAATCCTGTCTGAGCCACGAAGGCATCAAACATACTAACTACTGCATCGGATCAAGTCCGGAACTACTGCTAACTGGACGGGCCGGCATTGTGGCCTTAGACCCGTCCCTACTGGAAGGAAACTCACCTCGTAAACTGGCGGCTGAGTGTGTGTCTCTGAAAGCTAACGGCTGCTGCTCCTGAATCTCCTCGGCTACAAGTCCATGAACACACTCAATCAAATACTAAACACTGCACTTGGGGTAAAATGACTCTTTTACCCTTGGTCAAAGTCAACTTACTTTTGGGGCTGACTCGCCGAGTTGGGCCGCCCAACTCGCCGAGTCTCACTCTCACTTCCAACTCATACTCACTGCGACTCGTCGAGTGTGGCATCGACTCGACGAGTACCCTCTTGATCCAAGAACTCAGACAATCTTCATCCGACTCGCCGAGTCGTATGAACAGACTCGACGAGTTGTTCTTGATCCTAAGGAGATTGCCTTGGACTCGCCGAGTTGTATGAACAACTCGTCGAGTCCCTCCATCACTGAGTCTACCCTCAACTCGCTGAGTCCACTCTCTAACTCACTGGGTGCACTCGACACTGCTAAAAACGAAGGATCGGGGACTCGCGACCCGACTCGCCGAGTCGCTCATCCCGACTCGCCGAGTCGCTGCCATGCAGCTAGTTTTTACTCGATTTCTCTTGAATCCAACACATGCAAATGATAGATCTGGGTCCAATAAGCTGTTTTACCACGTAAAGTTTCCAACTTTACGTGCACAACCTCATGAATAAGGGAAATAGGGCTAAAAGATGCACAAAATGAGTAGATCCATGGCTAATATGCAATGTAACTCCAAAAAGACAGTAGATCTGGGCTCTACAACACCCCAACATTCAGATCCAAAGGTATTTCGACTTATTAAGACATTCATGCAAACATAAGGCTTGGAACAAACATCAAATAGCTCTTAGAAGAGCTCTAATGGAAGTTTAAAGCATATAACAAGAAGGGAACTCCGAAAATACCTCAATAAACTCAGATTTGCCCTTGGATCTTGCACTACAACTCGTTTCCTTGCTTCTTTCTTCTTCTCCTTCTTCACACCTTCACAAAAATGGCACCAAATCACTTATAAGCTCTCAAGGGAGGATTAGGGTTCTCTCACTGTGTTCTCAGGGTGAAAGTGGCGAGAATGAGGCTATAATGTGGTTTAAATAGTGGGCAAACCCGGGGATTTAGGGTTTCACCCAGACGGACGGACTCGCCGAGTCCGGGATATGGACTCGCCGAGTCCCCGGCTCCCGCGTGCACAAAATACGCGACCCAACTCGGCGAGTCAGGCTAGAACTCGCCGAGTCCCTCTTGAAAACTTAGACAATTAACAATTAATTAACATACCGGGAACGGGTCGTTACAATTCTCCCCCACTTGTCTCAGACTTCGTCCTCGAAGTCTGCTACGGCTGGATCTGCGAATAACTCCGGGTAGTGCGTTCTCATCTCTTCCTCAGCCTCCCACGTCCATTCAGATCCCTTCCGGTGCTGCCACTGCACCTTCACTAGCTGAATGACCTTGTTCCTCAAGGTCTTGATCTTCCGATCCAGAATCGCGACCGGCCTCTCAATATAATTCAGGCTGCTATCAACCTGAATATCCTCTAGGGGAACGACTGCTGACTCATCCACCAAACACTTTCTCAACTGCGACACGTGGAAAGTGTTGTGGATCTGACTAAGCTCCTCAGGAAGATCTAACCGATAAGCAACCCGACCCACCCGGGCCATAACCCTGAAAGGACCAATAAATCTGGGGCCCAGCTTGCCCCTCTTCCGGAACCTGATGACACCTTTCCAAGGTGAGACTTTCAGAAGAACCATATCTCCCACCTGGAACTCCAAGTCCGAACGCCTCCTGTCAGCGTAGCTCTTCTGCCGACTCTGCGCAGTCTGCAGCCTACTACGGACCTGCTGGATCAACTCAGTCGTCTTGAGCACCACTTCGGTGCTCCCGATGACTCGCTGACCGACCTCCCCAGCAAATCGGGGTCCTACACTTCCTACCATACAGCATCTCAAAAGGAGGTCGATCAATACTCGCATGGTAACTGTTGTTATACGAGAATTCCGCTAACGGAAGATACATATCCCAACTGCCCCCAAAATCTAGAACACATGCCCTAAGCATGTCCTCAAGAGTCTGAATCGTCCTCTCGCTCTGCCCGTCAGTCTGAGGGTGGAAAGCGGTGCTAAAATGAAGACGAGTACCCATCTCGTCGTGGAACCGCTTCCAGAATCTGGAGGTGAAACGAACATCTCGGTCTGACACCACCGATACCGGCACTCCATGACGTGCCACTATCTCTCGCACATAGATATCGGCTAACTTTTCCGCCGATATACTCTCCTGGATCGGGATAAAATGGGCACTCTTCGTCAACCGATCCACCACTACCCATATCGAATCCACTCCACGTGCGGTCCTGGGAAGTTTGGTGATAAAATCCATGGTGATATCCTCCCATTTCCACACGGGAATGTCCAACGGCTGCATCTTGCCGTGAGGTCTCTGGTGCTCCGCCTTGACCTTCCGGCAGGTCAAGCATCTCTCAACGTACCAAGCGACGTCCCGCTTCATGCAGGGCCACCAATAATCAGGTCGAAGATCTCGATACATCTTCGTCGCCCCTGGGTGGATAGAAAATCGAGACTTATGAGCCTCGTCCATCAATACCTGCCGTACTCCACCCCAGTACGGTACCCACACCCTACCATGAAGCGTCAACAAACCCCGACTATCGTAATCAAACGATGCTACTCGACCCACTATCCTCTCACATTTCTGCCTCTCCTCCTTGAGGCCCTCCACCTGAGCCTCCTTGATCCGCTCCAACAGCGGAGTGATCACTGTCATCCTCATGCACAGATCCCTGATAGGGGCCGCCGACACTTTGCGGCTTAGGGCGTCGGCCACCACGTTGGCCTTCCCTGGATGATAAAGGATCTCACAATCATAATCCTTTAGTACGTCCAACCACCTCCTCTGCCTCATGTTCAGACTCGGCTGATCCATAAGATACCGCAAACTCTTGTGATCCGTGTATATAGTACAACGGACCCCATACAGGTAATGTCTCCAAATCTTGAGGGCAAACACAACTGCCCCCAGCTCCAAATCGTGGGTAGGATAGTTAGCCTCGTGAGGCTTCAACTGTCTCGAGGCATAAGCTACCACATGGCCTCGCTGCATCAATACTGCTCCCATACCTGTGATTGAAGCATCACAGTAGACTACGAAGTCCTCTACTCCTTCCGGCAAGATAAGGATCGGTGCCTCGCACAATTTCTGTCTGAGAGTCTCGAACGCCGCCTGCTGCTCAGGCCCCCAACGGAATACCACCGACTTCTTGGTTAGTCGGGTGAGTGGCACTGCTATCTT